GGCGTGTGGCACCGCATTCACATCAGTACGCATATCCATGAGTGTGTGTCAACCCCTGTTCCGAAGGGTGCTTACACGCAGGGGGCTGGAGTGTGCTTCAGATGTCTCCAGCCAATGAAGACGCATCTGTCGCACAGTGACATAGTTCTGGGACGCCAGAACTACGTACCTGCTTTCTTCAACTGTTGACAAGCTGTCCACTCTCGCTTTTTGTTTCCATGGTGTTTCATGATACTACCCCCAAACCTTTTCCACCGCGTTTCTGTAGCTGCACCGTGCATTTAGTGTTTTCTGCAGACTTCAAAACAGTTTGTTCAAACGTCTACAAGTTTTGCGGACTCTTCACCTTACCGTTCTTCACCTTCCTTCCCATCGTGGCAATTGAGTTAACTGAAAACCAATGTCAGAGTGTGAGCCGCTCAGTCTTCCCACTTGGGTGCTGGGTGTGATCCCCTTCAGTGGGGCGCCGAAGCCATGCCGGAACTCATTGTTTTCCACTTTCATAACTGACTCCACGTTTTCCACTTATATAACTGAATTAACGGAGTTTCGAGCCGCCGGGCTATAAACGATGGAATACCATCAACTTGCAATCACAGCCGCCGGGCTAAAAAACGGATTTGATAGCCGCCGGGCTTAAAAACGGAAATTCACCCCACTTGAGGCAAGTCTCCCAACCCCCGCCCGCCGAGTTCTACTCCCTACCTAATTAGGGTAACAGAGGGAAATGGTACTCGGCACACTTGTGTGTCGGTACCTTTCCCTCTGTTGTCCCTTTTCTATTCTTCTCTACCCGGGCGGTTTAAGACTAAAGTCCCGCTCCCTAACTATTGCGCGTAATTCGCTTCTGCTAAGTAGTCAGTAACTCTAGAGTGCTAAGTATTCATACACTTCGAACTTGGGTTTTCAGTTAGACTCAATTGCCACGATGGGAAGGAAGGTGAGGGAACAGAAAGGCGCATAAGTCGGCAAAACAGTATTGTTTAAAAAATGTTTCCGAATGGCCTCGAAATTGATCTGTACAATCAGTGCGGTGACGAGCTCAGCTGCAGGAAAGTGGGTTTAGGGGAAGAAACGTGGAAGGACCATGAATCAAACCAGTCAGATTAGACAGCTTGGGCAAAAGTTTTCATCCACGCAGGTACAGAAGTTTGCGTCCAAACTTCCATCCAGTCGATTTCCCTAGCTTCGTTGGCGTGACTAGGAAATCGACCGTCACGCCCCCTGCCTCTTTTTTGCGTGAAGAAACTGCAAGCTAGTAGCGATACCAGAAACCCTTAGTAGCAGAACCAGGGGCCCTAGTAGCATCCTGTACGACTCGAAACCTTAGACACAGGTGTGGACACACACACACACACGAAGCCGAAATCGGCGCGCTGACCCTTGCTTGCAGTTTAGTAGCGTGGCCAGGAGTCGCTAGTAGCGTCCTCACAACCTGGTAGAACCGTCCTAGCGCCTAGTAGCGAGGCTAGAAGCCCTAGTAGCGTCATTGGTGTCCGCTGGTCGCAAAACTTTGTACACAAAGCGCCAATATTGGCGTTTTTTGTTGAAAACTACTAGCAACCTAAAAAGCCTTAGAAAGACAGCAAAAGCAAACAAAACAAAAGCAGACTAAGAGGGCAAGAAGGAAAGATAGGGGTAGTGACGAGGCCCACTTAGTTACATGAAAGTAGAATGCGAGCGGGACCTTTGGTCTTAAACCGCCCGGGTAGCTAGCAATAGAGTAGGAGAAACGGAAGGAAAGGCACCAACACACAAGTGTGTTGAGTGCGATTGCCTTCCGTTGCCCGAATAGCGGGTGGGATAGCAACCGAGGCCCAGGGGTAGGGAGGGTGGCCTGAGGCCTTGCCATCATTGGCTTTGTCATCATTGGCTTTCAAGTATAGCCGATTTGGGCCGGCACACCCTTCTCTGAAAGACACCTGGAACTTAAAGAAAGGCCTCAAGAAACGAAAAGCAACAAAAGGAGAGAAAGAACCGAAGAGCATGAAAAACATGTAACAAAAGCAAACCCGCCGGTGAATACTTAGACGCATGTTTCCATGTGAAGTGGATCAGAAATCAATGGTGGGAATTCCATCGTTTATAGCCCGGCGGCTCGAAAATCAGGAAATTCAGGGATAAAATGGAAACCGTGGAATCAGTTATGAAAGTGGAAAAACAATGAATGCCGGCATGGCGTCGGCGCCCCACTGAAGGGGATCACACCCAGTACCCGAGTGGGAAGACTGAGCGGGTCACACTTCGAACTTGGGTTTTCAGTTAGACTCAATTGCCACGATGGGAAGGAAGGTGAGGGAACAGAAAGGCGCATAAGTCGGCAAAACAGTATTGTTTAAAAAATGTTTCCGAATGGCCTCGAAATTGATCTGTACAATCAGTGCGGTGACGAGCTCAGCTGCAGGAAAGTGGGTTTAGGGGAAGAAACGTGGAAGGACCATGAATCAAACCAGTCAGATTAGACAGCTTGGGCAAAAGTTTTCATCCGCGCAGGTACAGAAGTTTGCGTCCAAACTTCCATCCAGTCGATTTCCCTAGCTTCGTTGGCGTGACTAGGAAATCGACCGTCACGCCCCCTGCCTCTTTTTTGCGTGAAGAAACTGCAAGCTAGTAGCGATACCAGAAACCCTTAGTAGCAGAACCAGGGGCCCTAGTAGCATCCTGTACGACTCGAAACCTTAGACAGAGGTGTCGACACACACACACACACGGACACACACATGTACATACACCTCCCTGCCCCCCCCCGGCTTTCCTTCTTGCGCTTTTGGTCGTTTCTTGGGCTTTCTCTCAGGCTTTTTAGGTTGCTCTTGAGGCTCGTTTCCCTACCCCAGTCAAGGGCTAAGTATTCACTTTTTCCTACACCTACCTTTCTCTCTTGACCTCTTAGCGCTGCTCTTTCTGTGCTTCTTTCTATTGTTTCTAAGGCTTTTTAGGTACCTATTCAGGTTCTTGGCACGAGCGCCGCAAAGCGGCACCGTGTGTGTGTCAACCCCTGTTCCGAAGGGTGCTTACACGCAGGGGGCTGGAGTGTGCTTCAGATATCTCCAGCCAATGAAGACGCATCTGTCGCACAGTGACATAGTTCCGGGACGCCAGAACTACGTACCTGCTTTCTTCAACTGTTGACAAGCTGTCCATTCTCGCTTTTTGTTTCCATGGTGTTTCATGATACTACCCCCAAACCTTTTCCACCGCGTTTCTGTAGCTGCACCGTGCATTTAGTGTTTTCTGCAGACTTCAAAACAGTTTGTTCAAACATCTACAAGTTTTGCGGACTCTTCACCTTACCGTTCTTCACCTTCCTTCCCATCGCGGCAATTGAGTTAACTGAAAGCCAATGTCAGAGTGTGTCAACCCCTGTTCCTAAGGGTTCTGAGGTCCTTTTTCCACCACTACGGCAGGGGGGCAGTGATCCCTTCAGCAGTCACTGCCTAACAAAGACGCTGCTGATCGGATGTGATATTCGGAGAGGATGCTCTCTGAACGTACCTGCCGAAGTTTTCGCAAGCTGTCACCCTCCCTTTCCACGGCTTGGTTCATGGTTCTTTCACGATACTTCCCCAACAAACTGGTTTCCACCGCGTGTGAGCTGTCGCTGAGTCGCTGCAGATGAGCTTTAACACTTGTTCAACAATACTTTTCTGCGGACCCATGCACCTTTCCGTTCCTTCACCTTCCTTCTCGCGTGGGAATTGAGCTAACTGAAAACCAATGTCAGAGTGTGTGTCTCGAAAAAGTGTGTTCTGAAAATGTCAAAAATCTGTTCGAATCCTCCTTTCATAGGCATCCCCCTTTCCGAAAAAAACCTCTTTCGTGCCATGCGACAGGCTCCGATTCATCAGACTGAGTGGTACTCGTTTCAGAGCTCACAGGCTCGCCACGCTTCCTGACAGCAAGGAAGCGCAGCAGGCGTAGCAAGGGTAGCATGACATGCGGCACAACCAAGACATCTTGAAACCATCACTCAAAACTCAAAAGTTCACCAGCTGTTGAGTTTTTTTTTGTCCAATCCCTCCCTCTTGTAGCTTTGACAAGTACAAAGGTAATCAACAATACACTGAACAATCATGATGCATAGTCTTGAATTGGATTCGCGCAACGCACGAGCAAGACAATCTCGGAACTGAAACGCATTCCTCTCCGATGCAGCCTCTCTGACTCCGCAATCTCGGCATTTCTCTGGCGAAGCTGCTGGGTCAGCTCTGAGAGGTCGGAATTGAATGTAGACGCCTCATTGGACATCATTGTGACCATGGCAAATTATAGCCGCTGGTTGGTTGTGCAGTGAGCGAAGAGCTTTTCAATGTTAAGTTTCCCTAAAAAACTAGGAACCAAATCATTAGCGCGAGCTATCCTGCATCCTGTCGGTAGTAGCTAACTTGTAACTACTAGCGGCCTACTACCCCCCCCAAAAAAAATAGACATATATATAGAGAGAGAAGAACATAATTTGCCAAGAAGCCATTTGCTCAAGCACTTGGCAGATCTCCGACCGAAGCTTATTGTTGATGGCTGGAAATCCACCTTCCTGAGCTCGTACCTCACTGGAAGGAGGGAAATAAGCTGGATGCTTCAATGCTGCTTCATTCGTTGTCCTTTTTAGGTGCTTTCATCTGAGGTTCGTCCCTCCACGTGCCTTCATTGTGTCATGACAGCTCGGGGAAGCTGAGAGGAGAGCTTGTCCCAGACCGTGCCCCAGGCGGTTCTAAGTTCGAGTTCGAGTTCGAATTCCAATCGGAGGCTATGCAGGCATGGGAGAGGGAGGGGGTGTCCGGTTCGAGTTCGAGATTGAGTTCAAGTTCGAATCGCAGGCTGCAGCATGTGTGAGAGCGAGGCGGGTGTCCGAATTCGACTTCACATCGGAGGCTGCATGCGTGGGAGAGGGAGTGGGAAGGGGGGGGGCCCAGTCCGAGTTCGAGCCCAGTTCGAGTTTGAATTCGACTTCGAATCGGAGGCCCGGCTGCAGGAATAGGAGAGTCCTAGTAGAGGAGTTCAAGTTCGAGTTCGTTAAAGAAGCGAACCCCGCAAGCAATACTCAAACGAATCCTAAAGAAGTGAAGCCCTCAGCCACAGAGACCCTAATGAAGTAAGCCCCGCAAGCCAGACCCAAAGAAACCCTAAAGACTAAAGAAGTGAAGCCCTATGCCAACCCACAGAGACCCCAAAGAAATGACCAAGAATGACCAAGAAACCCTGAGGAATTGAAACTCGCAAACCAAAACCAAAGAAACCCTACAGAATCGAAGCACTAGCAAGACAAGCCCAAAGAAACCCTAAAGTGGTGGTCAAAGTTTTATTCGGAAACTAAAAGGTGATCTTCGGAAACTTTAAACTAATCTTCGGAAACTCTACGGCTTTCTGTTCGGAAACTACGAAGAATCGAAGAGCAACATCAAGCCTGCACGAAAAAGTTTCTGCAAATCGTAAAACAGGCATGTATATACTATATACCGTAGCCGTCACAAGGTGCGTCAATAACCCACCCACCCACCCCCCACCCCCCACCCAGCCAGCGCTTCTTCATGCAATTTCGTTGCCATATTGTAAATGTTCTGAAGAAAACTTGTATAAAGCATGCAAATAAGTTTCTGAAGATCGCAAAATAATTTCTGAAGACCGCAAAGTAGTTTCTGAAGAGTAGTTGCGGAAGAGTACCAAATAGTTGCGGAATAAAGTTTCAGAAGAATGGAGACTTGCGGAATAGGACTTTGTTCCTAAAGTGGTGAATTAAAAGCCAAAGAACCCTAAGAAGTCAAGGCCATTAAAGAAGCGACCCCCGCAAGCCATACCCAAACAAATCCTAAAGAAGTGAAGCCCTCAGCCACAGAGACCCTAATGAAGTAAACCCTACAATCCAAAGCCAAAGAAACCCTTAAAAAGTCATGAAAGTAGTCAAGCTCGCAAGCAAAAGCCAAAGCAACCCTGAAGACTAATTAAAGAGCCAAACTGAGAGAAACCTTGAACTTGCCAGCCGAACCCCAAAAAACCTAAAGTAGCAAAGTTCGGATGCCCAACGCACAGACACGGTAGAGACATGTAATGTAAAGACTAAAGACATGAAGCCCTAGAAGCCCAACCAAAAGAAACCCTAAAGAAGTGAAGCCCTAAGCCCACAAGCTGAAGAAACCCTACAGAAGTGAAGTGCAAAGCCAAGCCTGAAGAAACCCTAAACGAAGTGAGACCCGCAAGCCCAGCGAACCCCCAACAAGACAAGCCCAAAGAAACCCCAAAGTAACGAAGCCCAAGCGAGACAAGCCCAAATTAGCGAAGCCCTACACCATTTCAAAGCCAAAGAAACCCTAGCCCTAAAGAAGTGAGGACGCTCGGAACATCACTCACCTACTGTTCCAAGGTTGAGTTCTAACTGTTCCAGCTCGAGTTCGAATTCGAGATCAAGTTCAAATTCGAGTTCGAGGCCTTCACTAGTTCTAACTGCTAACTGTTCCAGCTCGAG